GTGGATGGAGGACCTCAGTTTAGCTTGTTTTGTCGCGCTAGCACCGAGCTAATACATATAAGGTAATATAGCTTCGGCGCTACCACAAAGGCTAACAGGCTAAGCTGAGGTTCTTCTTCCATGAAGCAGCTCTGTTGTCCTCCATCCACGTCATCATTTACCCAGAATGCTTTGCTTGTAAATAAAATGGCTCCGTCCGTGTTAAAATATATTTTTAAAAATGTACAAAACTAAACATCCTACAGTATTTTTACAGTCTTTATTTTACGGTTAAAATAAATGTTTATCAAAAAACGTCTAATGTTACAACTAATCGTGGATCCCTTTTAAAGAATGCTGCTGAAATACTGGATTTATGTGTATAATGCAAAGAAATCACAAAGTGGACCATTTTCAGCAACAAGCAGAAATGTGTACTGCTCTACTGCAGCCACAAAGATCTGCTTCCCCACCACAGGCTGCACTGCAAAGGATAAAAAAATACGGAAATCTGTATGAAATTAGGGGTATCATTATGAATAAGGGTTAGTTTTTAATGCTTTTTAAGCTCGAATAAATAGGCAGTGGCATTATACACCCATAAATAATTATATGTATAAAATCCATAAAAAAGCAAAGCAAAAGCAGCTGCTCAGCTAAGCTAACCTTCATATTATTTGTTGCGTAGTTTATTATGTTTACCAGATTTGTTCCTGAAGAATTAAATCAGGAATAGTGTTTGTATCAAACCCAGTTTATCTTCTTTCAGGATAAAATTTCTTTAGAAGAGGATCACATAGAAGTGGAGAAAGCACCAAGTGTTTCCAAAACCAGAAAGATGAGCAAACGAGGAGCCAGGTAAGAATTCTGTGTAAAACAAAGCATGTCCCCCCCCGGCACACTGGAGACAAAACCTCATCGTTTTTTCTGTTTATCTTCAGATCCAGAATTGTTCCTGAGCCTCTTCCCACAGCAGAGGTGGACCTGCTGTCCCCACTGCCCAGTCCAGCCGACCCGCTCCCACGAGCTCTGAAGAGGATTACAGGAGAGGCCCCGACCACCAGCATGAGCCTTCGACACAAACGCGTTTTGTATTCGGTTTTTAAAAAACCCGTGACCCGGAGGAAAAGGCTGTGAGGGAGTCTGCGGTGGTCACAACCAGTGAACCTCAGACGGCCACCTGAAGACGAAGACTGGAACCAGATCAGTCGTAAACCTGTCCAATAAAACAAAAATCAGATGCCTGAACTGATGGTGGTTCTGTTTCTTCAGATGCCTCACAGCGCTGCAGTTTAAATCAGTTTCCTGTTGAAATTCAATTAGAAGCTGTGAAGGCAGTGGGATAATATATTTTTAGGACAAAAACACGAGAGCTGCAGTGTGAAGCAGAAGGCTTTATTTTTTAGAGTTTACATTTCCCTCATAATAACTTGATTTTACTTAATATTGTATTTGTGTCCATTTTGTGTTGGACGGTTTTGTGGCGCTCTTCAGCTGGTCACAAAATGGCACAAGAGGGAGAAAAAACGTGTTTTTAGTGGCTCTCGTTTTTAAAATCAAAGCCTGAGCTGAACTTGCCTCATGCTGAGGTTTTATTTCAGTCGTTCTGTTCTTTTTGTTGCAGATTACTTTTAAAACTTCAAGGCCTGCTGGGGTTTTTTCTTATATGAGGGGGCGGGGGGGAAACAAGCACCTGACTAGTGGAGATCCATTTCTACTGCTAGATTTGTATATAGTCCTTTGCTATGTTCCAAATAAAGTTAATAAATTCTAAAGTATTGCTTATTTTGAATTGTCTCTTGAATGCATTTATCCATTTTATTGGATCGCCTTTGTTGTAGTTTTAAGATTTGATTCAATTTGAAGGATTTTATGTGGAATTTGGCGTTGCTGTCCTCAGATCCAGGTGTTTTTACATCGTACGAATGTACATGATCAGAGGATCAGGAATATGCAAATGTGAATGTTCATTTGGGACGTGTTCAAAATATTGTTGAATAGCATTTCTGATGAATGTAGACTGTTTTATTTTTATGACTGCTCTTTGATAAACATGACAAAACCTTTCAAACCTCTGCTTCCTGCTTGTTGAGTGATCGTCTCGGTTCTTGGAGTGTGTTACGTGTTGTGTTCAGTGTGTGGCGTTGGGCACACTGGACTTCATCTTAAAGCTTCAAACGTGAAGTTTGATTTGAGAACAACAGCTCTGCAAGTGTGTGAATGTTTGCTGGGGATCTGTGCGTCTTTTATTATTTATAGGTCTTGATGAGGTGAAAGTGAAACCTGCCTCTTCTGCTCTCTTCCACCCCTCCCACTAAAAAGGAAAAGCACAAAAAAAGGAAGAACAGGTGCAACATCTCTTAAAATGGATTATAGTTAATTCATTTAAATATAAAGATGAGACTTTAGTTCTCATAACATTTTAGGATATTAACTTCTCAGCTGTGAGAATCATGATTAACCTTATTTCCAGGTAAGTGTGTGCACCAGCATCTGTGTTACTGTGTAACCTGACCCCCCTCAGCACGGTGCTGATCCCTCAGTCTGCCTCCTGTCCTACCTGCCAGCTGCACCATGAGGGCCAAGGCCTCCGAGGTCCACAACAAAGACTGTGTTAAAGTGGCTGTCAGAGTGCGACCGTTCAACAAGGTCAGTGAGCTGTTCTTTCTGTTTTTATTACATTATTTTATTTTTACTTTTTTTGTGAAGTGTGAAGCAATAGTTCCAGTCCTGAAATGCAGAAGAAGTTGGGCAAGCTGCAAGATCTGACTTGTGAATCATTTAAAGCAGGGCTGTCAAACTCATTTTCACCGAGGGCCACATGAGCGTTATGATGGCCCTTGAAGGGCCAGTGGTAATGAACTTTGATGTTTCATGTTTAACTTTGACTAAACAGAGTTTTAACACGTCCTCTTTTAAACACTGATAAGAACTAAATGTACGACTGACTAAATCTGCAATAAATACAGAAATATTATTAAAAGTAAAACAAAGTTTTACTCACTGATGAGTTTCTAGTGAGTAGCTGCATTATGGCAGATTTAGTTTATGTTTGATGTTGACTTTAAAGCAGCTTATTTTCAGACATTAACACTGAGCTATCCAACTAAACTGCTCAGTTACTTCAAACCAACAGCTCAGGGACAGGAATTTTTTTATTTATTTTTATTAAATTAATTTTGTTGCGTTTAACCATAAATTTAAAGTTTACCATTGATATAAGAAACAAATTTCATGTTAAATAATTGTTTTTTTTGGAAGGGGACCCTCCTACACACACACACACACATTTGGCCCGCGGGCCTTGTATTTGACACATATGATTTAAACTGTTCTGAAATGAAAATAGAGACAAATAATGAGGCCTCAGAGACAAAAACATAATTTTAATCAAACTAAAGCAACGCTGCAGCAAGAAATAAGTGAGTTCTGCTGAGGAACATCTGAAGAATGAACAGGAGTATGAATGATGCAGAGCAGCTGTGAGAATCAGGACCAGGTGTGAGGAGAGCAGCCGACACAGAAGGTAAAACAAGATTAAATGAAGCTGACATCTTAAATCATTTTAGACATTTTGTTTTTGTCTTGAATGTGACTTTTTTTCAAATTTGACTCCCAAAACAAAGAAAAATATGATTTTATTTCCTGTTTTGTGGAAGGATAATAGCCGACATTGTTTGCTGCCTTGTAATGAGTCGTTGAGCATGACTCAGCTTCTGGATTTTAGCTGCATATCTGTGTTTGATAAGCTTTGGTGGCCACCTTGAATCTGATTGACTCCAAAAGTTATTCAGCTGTGGATGTCCAGCTAAAGATTACTTTCAGAGAGTTTAATTAGGATTTGTCCTCTGGTTTGTGAGATATTTTGCTAACAGACAGACAAATGAACACACACTGGCAGCAGGAAGTGTTGCATATTTCAGCTTTGACAGTGTCCCGATGTTTTCGTCCAGGTTTAAGTGAAGTATTTACTGACTTAATCCAAGTTATTAAAATAAACTAGTTAATTGTTCTGCAGTTGTCATCATATCAGTGCATATTTCATGAGTTACCTTCACATGATAACACTGATGTAAAATGATTCTTACCAGATTTGAAGCAATGCATTTACATTTAGGAAAGTCATATTTATGATGAAAATAACTACATGTCTGTGTATTAAGGATGCATTTTTCTTAATTGTACTCTCAAATCCAGCCTCATTTTCTACCTCTCATTTGTTATTTTGTTAATTTTTCTCCACAGAGAGAGCAGGATGCAGGCAGTCGCTGTATTGTCTCCATGGCGTCGACCTCCATCAGCATCCAGGACCCACGTGAGTCCCAGAACCGACGGGCGTTCTGCTTCGATTATGCTTATTGGTCCCACAGCGGCTTCGTCAGAGACCACAGGGGTCTCTATGTTCCTGAAGAGCCAGGGGGGCGATACGCTGACCAGGTCAGATCTTTTACTCTGTAAAGTATACTTCACAGTGTAAAAGATAAATACACGAATAACACCGTGTACACATTAATGCTTATTACTGAGTAAAAGAAGGTGTGTAAGTTTGTTTCTGTAGGTAATGAGATGTGATTGATCCTTTAGAACAGTGTGTTCCAGGATTTGGGAGAAGGAATCCTGGAGAACGCTCTGCAGGTTGGAACCACTGAGGCTTCATTTCATTTATTGTGTAATTTGATGATGTAAAACACAACAACATGTCACCATGTCCAAACTGTCTGGACAATGAAGGGTCTGAAATGATGTGCAGGGTTACAACGCTACACTGTTGGCATACGGCCAGACCGGCTCAGGGAAGAGTTACTCCATGATGGGCTACGGGCCGAACAAAGGTCTCGTCCCCAAACTCTGTGAGCGACTGTTTCAAGCAATCCGAGAAAACCAAGAAAGCGGACAGTGTCAGGTAAAACAGAAACGGGAAATAACTGCACTCTGACCTTACTTAGATGTGTCAGGTTTGTGAATAATACATATATTAATGCCTACAGTCATCATGGGTTTGTGAGTGTTTTAAATCTGTTTGTGATGCATCCACAGGTTTTCTTCAGTATGTTGGAAATCTATAATGAACAGGTAACAGATGGTTAATGGTTTTATTTGTGTTTTTTAGGTTGTTTGCTATTCAGCAGATTTTTGCAACATACAGGGTATATATTGAAAAATTGTTTTCGACTCCTTCCTGTTTTGTCTGATCCTTGTCCAGGTTGTTGACCTGCTGTCCCGGGGGTCTCGTAACCCAGGTGGACTCAGAGTCCGGGAGGAGCAGCAAAGAGGTTTCTATGTGGAGGGTCTTCGTATGATCCCCTGCGAGAGTGCTCCACAGGTGCAGTTATATGGAAAGACTGTAGAGTTAAATATTGTTCATAATTATTATTATATTATGACATGTACAGCTACCTGCTCCCCATTATTCTGGATTAATCCCTAGAGGTCAATCCCACTTTAAATAACTCCATTATATATGAGCTGAAATACAGGTGCAGCCATGTGTGTCTGTTACATTGGAACACCTAGAACTTTTCTGAGTAAGGGGCCGTCAATATAATGTTCATAGAGCTGCCAAGTATTTAACATCTGTGCACACAAATCCCCAGTTTTGGTAAATTGTATACATTTAAGTAGCCACACATGTTCAAACATTTGTGTAATTTATTGGGCTGTCAAATGATTAAAATTTTAATCTATTAATTCGAAGGTAGCTGTGAATTAATCACAATTAATCACGATTAATCTTAAACTTAATATAAAACTTTATTGCATATTGGTAAAATACTGTAAATTACTTGAGTTATTAATTAATGTCTTTATTTTGAAAAAAAAATGGTGCTTAAGAAATACATACAACAATAATAAATCATGAAAATATCATCTCGATTGCACAAAAAACAACAAAAATCAGGACCTAAAAAATGCCCCAAACATATTTGTCAGTTAAATTTAACGCAGAATAATGAGGTTAAATCAAGAATTCAAGGATTTTCAGTCCAAATGACTACATGAGGAATGAAAGATAGATACTAAGGTCACAGTTGTCAGCAAAACATAAATAAATTAAATAAAATAAGCCATAAGAGGACAAAAAGAAAAAAAAACTGTACATAATGTGTTACACATATTTATTCTTTATTTATCCAGGTAAACTGTCTGAGAACCACTTCTCATTTACAAACTTGACCTGGAATACACTGAGTGCATTGTAATATACAAACCTACATATTCAGCCACAGTAAAGTGATTGTAAATTTTAGTCGTGATTAAAATTTTTAATCTATGCCCATGCAGCACTAAAATTAATCAGAGTTAACTCGATTGATTTCACAGCCCTAGTCATTTAATTTAAAAAAGCTGCACAGTAAATGCTTCTTACAGCCATCATTTGTCAGGTGAAAAGAAGAACTCTGTAAGCTTGACTCAAGCTGGACTTTCCTGTTTGACTCATTAGCGCCTCCAGTGTTTGGACATGGAACTGCTTCCCATAATTACATTCTGATAGTTTTAATCAACCCATCCTCAGATTCCTAAGATGTTTTTCTAACAGATACAGACAGTTACGTTACTGGTCAACCTTCATGGCTGCTGGCAATGATTAAATCTCTCAAATCTTAAAAATAAATTTTCAAATCTTATAAATAGGCATCAAAGATTTTTATTTTAATGGAAACATTCACATCTTATTGGGATGAATGAGGATGTAAAGCGTTTGTGTAGGTGGAGCAGCTGATGGAACAAGGAACCAGGACCAGAACCACAGCTGCGACACATGTGAACGCCAACAGCAGTCGGTCACACATGCTCATAATCCTGCAGCTCAAACAGGTACACATTTTATTTTTAACAACATTAAGTCCGTTCAGCTAAACCTTATTCATTAAAACAGATTAAAATTTCTTCTTTTGTTTCTTAAAGTTAATCATTTTTCACTCATTTTGTACAGTTTACTTCCTGTGTTTGTATTTATATTCATTTGTGTCTAAAAAGAAAATTAAAAAATGAACCTCCCTCTTAGATCTTTTCCAAAGAGAGCACCACGAAGCAGTCCAACATCAACCTGGTGGACTTGGCTGGCAGTGAGCGTCAGAGGTCATCAGGGTCTGAAGCCGACAGACTCAAAGAGGGAACAGCCATCAACCTGAGCCTCACCACTCTGGGCAACGTTATCAGGTTGGCCCGCCGTCTCTTCTAGTTTCATCAGTTTTTGTCTCGTTCTCATGTTCCCTCTCTCCTTCAGCGCTCTTGCTGATGTGGCCGTGGGGAAGAGGGTTGTTCACATCCCTTACAGAGACTCGGTTCTCACCAAGCTGCTCCAGTCTGCTCTGGGAGGCAACAGTCGCACGGTTATGGTAAATATTTGTGGAAACCAGTATCGGTTGTTTGCAGAGTTAAGTTGGCAAACATATACTTTTTATGTTTTTATTTTTAAGATTGCCACCCTGAGTCCTGCAGATATCTGCTATGAAGAGTCTCTCTCCACCCTACGCTACGCTGAGAGGTCCATCAATCACTTCCACAGATGTTTCTCTGCATCTTTTCATCTTTGGCTACACAAAGCCATGATTGGTCCCACTGTCTTCCTCTCTCCAGGGCAAAGCGTATCCAGAACCGGGCGGTGGTGAACGAGAGCCCCACTGAGCGCCTTGTTAAAGAGCTGAAGGCCGAGAACGCCAGACTGCTGCAGCGTCTGAGCCGAATGGGTCAGGAGGGCCGCAGAGCCAGTGAAGAGACCAGTGAGAACCTGTGTGTCTGGTTTACAGTATGTGTCCGAGAGCTGCTGGACTGTGACATGATTTGTTTGTGTACAAACTAATACAGTATCAGAATTTTATGTATCTATATTTCCCTTTCAACCACAAATAAATTCACTCTATCTAGGAGGCAAAATTTATATGGATAGTATTTATTTTTTACAATAACAAGCTGGAATGAAAACAAGCAAAAATATAACAAAAGTAACAACTTTCTACTTTTTGCCTTTTTAAAAAATGTAAGGAGTAGAAAGTACAGATAATTGTGTGAAAATGTAAGAAGTAGAAGTAAAAAGGCTGAAATTAATTACTCGAGTAAAGTACAGATACACAAAAATTCTAGTTAAGTACAGTAACAAAGTATTTGTACTTAGTTACTTTATAACTCTTTCTTCAAAGATCAAAATCATCCCCCAAACTCTACGTTTTCTCTGATTTTACTACTTATTGTTTATTGATTCATAATCTTGATCTTTCAACTTCTGTTTTAATCAAAAGAGGGCTCAATACCAACCACATTTCCAACATGGTCACATAAATACATAACTGTTTTTTTCTTTCCCAAACATCTCATTTCTCTCATCGTGTGACACGGTGACACTCCTTCCAGAGGAGCTCCGTCAGCTGCTGACCCACAACGAGCTCCAGATCCGAGCCATTCAGACTCTGTGGGAGCAACATCTGCAGGAGGCGCTGAAGGACTGGGAGCAGCAGTATGCCACACTCACACAGGTAAACACACACTTTGAGTAGTTCCCAATGAGCTTTAGAGACAACACAAGTAGAGAATGGATTAAAGTTAGTTTTAAATGTAATTGTGTAAGTAGGTATTTACGGAAGCATAGAGCTGTCACATGACAAAATTATTTTTAAACTGGATCTTGAAAAAGACTGAACCACTATATAAACAAAAACAAACAGAACACATGTTGTTTGGGTTCATGCTCAGACATTGCAGCTGCATGTCTTTAGCAATATGCACTCTCTAATCTGAATTCAGACGCTATTATTTCAAAAACATTATTCAGTAACTTGTTCATTTTTTAGTCTAGAAATGTGTTCCTCTTGCAGAGTTCTTCTTCGTAGGCATAGTGGCTCAGTCGTGTTCTCCATCACGCCATCCAGGCAATAAACTTCTGTGAAAGTAACAAACCAGAAGAAACCATAACACGTTATAACGAGATGGTTTCCTCGTTTTTACGAGATAGTTTTCTCATTATAACGAGACATTTTTGTCGTTAAAATGACATATTTTCTCGTTTTTACGAGAGTTTTCTCGTTTTTACGAGATAGTTTTGTCGTTTTCTCATTTTTACAAGATAGTTTTCTCATTATGAGATATTTTTGACGTTATAACGACATTTTCTCGTTTTTACAAGTTTTCTCATTTTTACGAGATAGTTTTCTCATATTTTACACGATAGTTTTATCATTTTTACGAGACTTTTCTCATTATAACGACATATTTTCTCATTATAACGAGAGTTTTCTCATTATGACGTATTTGTCATTTTTACGAGAGTTTTCTCGTTTTTACAAGATAGTTTTCTCATAACGACATATTTTCTTGTTTTTACGAGAGTTTTCTCGTTTTTACAAGATAGTTTTGTCGTTTTCTCATTTTTACAAGATAGTTTTCTCATTATAATGAGATATTTTTGACGTTATAACGACATATTNGTCGTTTTCTCATTTTTACAAGATAGTTTTCTCATTATAATGAGATATTTTTGACGTTATAACGACATATTTTCTCGTTTTTACAAGAGTTTTCTCATTTTTACGAGATAGTTTTCTCATATTTTACACGATAGTTTTATCATTTTTACGAGAGTTTTCTCATTATAACGACATATTTTCTCATTATAACGAGAGTTTTCTCATTATGACGTATTTGTCGTTTTTACGAGAGTTTTCTCGTTTTTACAAGATAGTTTTCTCATAACGACATATTTTCTCGTTTTTACGCGTTCTCATTTTTACAAGTTTTCTCATTATAACAAATTTGTCGTTATAACGACATTTTCTCATTTTTACGAGAGTTTTCTCATTTTTACAAAATAGTTTTCTCGTTATAACATATTTTTCGTTTTTACGAGAGTTTTCTCGTTATAACGAGATCCAGTTTAAAAATAATTTTGTCATGTGACAGCTCTACGCTTCTGTAGGTATTCCTTTTGTCCTAGATGTTTTTTTTTCCTCCTGTGTTTTGCATCAAGTGCTAAAGTTGTAGTTCTCCCTGCTTTACTATCAGGAGAGGAGGATGATGCAGATGCATCCCTACATCTTGAACATCAACGAGGATGCTCAGCTGTCGGGGGTGGTGAAGCTTTTCATCCAGGAGGGTGAGTCTCTCTGCACAGCTGGACTGAGCTTTAGCTTAGCGTTAGTGTTTAAAGTGGAGACTGAATCAGAGGTCCCTTTTAGATTTAATGTCTGTAGTTTGCAACATGATTCTTAGAACCAGAAAAGGGTTTTGTTGGACCAAGACTTGAGCTTCTTTGTTTTCCAGGTGAGTGGATCATCGGCCTGTTTGACTCCTCACAGAGATCCATTTCTATCAAGGGTTTAGGGTGAGTTTTTTTCTATTATAACAACGAAATTAAAGTTCAACATTTAACAACACTTCACACAGTTTATGAAAGATTATGTGTAAGATTGAGTTAAAATGTAGTTTTGAATCTACAAAGTAAATGGCTGAAGAAAATAATTTTCTGTTTACAAACACTGTCTGAGACAGGATCCAGGAGCGTCATGCTGTGTTCAGGAATGAAAAGCGGCGTGTTACACTGACACCCCTACCAGGTTCAAAGGTTATCGTTAATGGGAATGCTGTGTACCAAACAACTGAACTGCAGCACCTGGTGGGTCTTTGCACTTCCTGCTGGATGATGTGACCTTTACCTGAAGCAAAGTGACTCACAACACTTTATTTTTAATCTTTCAGGATCGTCTCATTTTGGGTTCGAACTCCACCTACCTGTTCATTGGTTATCCATCAGAAAGAGGCGCAGATGACTGGAGCCGCTACGACTATGACTACTTCCAGTCTGAGCTGGCAGCTGCTGAGGGCATCCATCTGGGTGAGTGGAAGAGAAGGACGTTTATCTGTGGAGGGAAACCTGCTGGTGGGGAATCATCTGTCTGTGTTTAGGAGAGTCCAGTGCTGGATCCAATCAGACTGACCCCAGTCTGCTGGCCGTCTTCTATGACTACATCAAGCTGATGCCCATGGTGGCCGAGGCCAACCAGATGAGCCAGGAACTGAACAAGGTAACAACCAGAGTGATGTTGACAAATGGAATAACAAATACATTCCCAGAGCCGGCTCTTGGCATAGGCGAACTAGACGGCCGCCTAGAGCGCCATCTGCTGGAGGGGACACCGAACTGCAGAAGAAAAAAGTAATTATTGTAATCCCTGGTTGTAACTCTGCTCAGCTCCCCTTTCAGTTAGCTTTGTCTTAAAAAACTATAATGAAGTATTACAGGAAAAATAAACTACTCTACCCATAAAACACCCCCCACCCCCCACAATGCAGCAATCGCCCCCACCCTCTCTCTCATTTGATTGACGTTGCACTGACTCATCCTGCTCCGACACTCTGATGGGGGAGGGGCTAGTAGTGCCTCTCAGGTAGCGGTTCGTGTTGACAAACTCAATAACAACAAGTCTGTATTTTGTTGTCCCATACATGTCAACCTCTTCGGACGTTTACCTGTATGAAACGCCTCAAAGATCCGTAAATTTTGCAAAAAATCCATGCAACTCGCACCGGGGGGTTGTCAGCCTCGCTGGGGACATGAAAGCGCCCGCTGCGAAGCAGGAGGAAAGGAAAGCAGAAAAAGTTAATCCGTATACCTGCAAAATGATGTAAAATCCTTATAATTTACGGACAATCCATACAAATTGACATCTATTTTGTTATTTATTTGCTTTCTGGGAAAGCAAATAAATCTAAGTTTACCATAGTACCTTACACTGTCAAACTTGTTTTTAGGGGTTCAAATTGGGGTGGGTGGGACATAGTTCGGTGGGGGGCGGTGCGCTTCAACTCACCTAGGGCACCAAAACGTCTAGAGCCAGCACTGGGGTTCATGTGACTGAAGTTATTGTCTGCTGAGTTTTCAGGGAGTGGAGTTTAAACTGGAGATCAAGAATCTTGCGCTGTCGGACTCCAGAGGTCACGATCTGCAGAAAGACATTGTAGTTCGAGTCACCTCCAGAGGAAGCAAACAGGTTGGTGATGTTTTTAGTTCCTATCTAACATTTTCTGTAACAGCTTAAAAAGCTGAGCTGTCACTCTCATGCCCTCAGGTTTGGGTGTGGTCCAAAGCCAAATTTGTAAACCGCAAGTTTCTGATGGAAGAGGTCTACCAGCAGTTCCAGGCTGAACAGAGAGAGGGTGAAGTATGTGTGTAGAAAGGTCATGCCTCTTATCATACAGAAATTTTGTTTTGTTTTGCATAAACTGCACATATAACCAGGAAAAACACAGAATGTATTGATTGTTACAGCATGCCACGTCTCTGCTTCCTCCTGTCAGAGAGCCGAGGGACTCTCAGCAGTTGCTTTACCCAGAGAGAAAGACCCGTTCTGGGATCCAGTGGAGCCTTTGCTCCTGGGTATGGCTCACCTCTGGCTGCAATCTTTAGCCTTTCACATCCCATTGGAAGAGCAGCTAGAGGTACTCAGACCTGCTTCCTGCACACGTATCCATCCATGATGTCACATGACCGATTCATAATCTGACTGATCATCAACAGGTGCTGGGCTCAGAGGGCACGGAGGAGGCCATTCTACAAGCTCAGTTGGTCCCCTGTACTTCTACTGGACTGTATGACTGACACACACACACACACACACACACACACACACACACACACAC